TTACATTCTTTAGAAATATGTATGTATGGGCTGGGCACGGTGGCACACATCTTTAATCCCAGCACTCAGGAGGCAGAGGCAGAGGCAAGAGAATCTCTGTGAGTTCAAGGACAGCCTGGACTACATAAGACAGTCCAGGACAGCAAAGGCTACACAGGGAAACCCTATCTCGAAAAACCAGGGAGAAAAAAAGAAAAGAAATATGTATGTGTGTGTGTGTGTACATTTTTAAAGTTTTAACTTAACAAATATGGTCCCAAAATTGTGTGCTTATATTTATGGGGTAGAGAACCAATCTGAAGTTGAGAGTCCTACTTCAGTATCTCCCAGATAAGTCAGCAGGTTTATAAACTGCAAACTTCTTTTAAAATCTTTATGTGGAGGACTATTTTGTTTGCTGTATGTCTGTGTCCACACGCATGCAATGCTAAGTCTAGCAGCTAGACAAGGGCTAGTGGTTTGTGAGCCACCAGTGGGTGTTGGTCCTCTGCAAGAGCATCAAGCACTCTTAACCACTAAGCCATCTCTCTAGCCCCATACAGGTTTCAACTTCATATACTTCCAGACGTCCTGAATAGGGCCTGGTCTCTTCCCTATTACACAATATACATACCATACATCTTATCCAATCTTGAAAACAATAATCCATATCCTTAACTCATAGGAAAGGTTTTCTAAATGTTACAAAAAATAATCTACAAAGCCAAATTGTGACAGTAAGTGGCTATCTTCCAAATTTTACTTTTAAAAACATCTAGGGAACCTGGTGTAATAGCACACAACTTTAATCTCAGCACTCGGGAGACAGACAGGTAGATCTCTGAGTTCGAGGCCAGCCTGCTTTAAAGGGAGTTCAAGAACTGTCAGGGCTACACAGAGAATCCTTGAGGGTGGGGATAAGCAGCTAGGACCTTACCTCCTAAACTACAGAAAAAAAGACATAAAGAAAAACTCAACAAACTAAGGATTAGACTAGACCTTCCTAGCCCAGCATGGTGGTACGTGCGGTTATGGAGGCAGAGAAAGGCAGATCTCTGTGAGTTCAAGGCCAGCCTGATCTACAGTGCCAGGACAACTACCCTGTCTCAAAACAAACAAAAAGAATGGACCTTCCTTGATTTGATAAAATCACAAAATCACAGACCACAGCTGGCTGATGATTTTATCACCACCATACTGCCTACTATTCTCTTCACAGTATACTAAATAAACTTGCTTATCTTCATTTCTGTAATGGCGGTTTTGGTTTCTTTGTAAACTCAGTTATACTCTGTAAAAATGCTTTTGTTTTAATCCCAAGTATGGGGTTTTAGTTGGGCTATAGTTTGTCCACAGCTGTTAACTGTCTCATGCAGGGCGTGGCTTTTGCAGTTGGGAATAGCCTTCCACATGCACAGAGAGAGAGAGAGAGAGGGGGGCATGGACTAGGGCTCTGAGGATATAAGTTGAGAGCCAAGAAAGAGAAGGTGTGGTGTTCGATGTTGGTGTGTAGCGGTTTAGAGACCAGAGATAGACGGTGTGGCGTTTTGGAGCAGACATACAAAGTCAAACAGTCCTGGGTGCAGGCCTGAAGACTGCTGGCTGCATCTGCTATGGATGGAGACTGGTATAGAGCCCTAAAAGAACCCCTTTAACCCTAAAAGTCAGGAGAAGCAAAGGGGCCCTCTCTCCCCCACTAACTTTCCCTCTCCTACGTAGGGAAGGGAGGTTGAGGCCTCAACACCCCAAAAAGAGTTTTAAAAACGAGCGCTACATATTTCTTTTTGGTTACTGGGTCTCTGGTAGCAAGTTGGCTTCAAACTCACTGTAAAATGAAGAATGACTTTGAATTCCTGATCCTCTGGCTTCCATCTTCCAACAACAATTCCAGCAAATATTACAGTTATGGAGAAATTTTAGAATCTCATCTTTGTTCTCCCCACTCCATTTCATTTCTTCCTCTCTGTATTCACTACTGTGCCCAGGCTGGCCACAAATTCCCAAATATTTGTCTCAAACTCTTGACTGTTGGGAATACAGACAGGTAACACCACATATAACCAGAATCATCTTGGTTTCTTTCTTTCTTTCTTTCTTTCTTTCTTTCTTTCTTTCTTCCTTCCTTCCTTCCTCTCTCTCTCTCTCTCTCTCTCTCTCTCTCTCTCTCTCTCTCTTTTTGTTTTTGTTTTTTGAGACAGGGTTTCTCTGTGTAGCCCTGGCTATCCTGGAAATCCTGGAACTCTCTTTGTAGATCAGGCTGTTCTCAAGTCATAGAGATCCACCTACCTCTGCTCTTGAGTGCTGGGATTAAAGACATGCCCTACCACGACTGGCTTTCTTTCTTCTTATATTAATTACAGTTTATTCACTTTGTACCCCACCTGTAGCTTCTTCCCTCCACCCCTCTCTCCCTCCCCTCCACCCGTGCCCCTCCCCCAGTCCACTGATAGAGGATGTCTTCCTCCCCTTCCTTCTGATCCTAGTCTATCAGGTCTCAGGAGTGGCTACATTGTCTTCCTCTCACCTGAGGGAGAGGTGATCAGAGAGTAGGCCAATCAGTTCAAGTCAGAGACAATGCCTGTTCCCATTACTATGTTCCCATTTGGAGACTGAGCTGTCATGGACCACCTCTGTGCAGGGGTTCTAGGTTATTTTCATGCATGGTCCTTGGTTGGAGTATCAGTCTCAGAAAAGACCCCTGGGCCCAGATTTTTTGGTTCTGTTGTTCTCGTTGTAAAGCTCCTGACCTCTCCAGGTCTTACTATTTCCCACTTCTTTCATAAGATTTCTTGCACTCTGCCCACAGTTTGACTATAAGTCTCAGCATCTGCTTTGATACCCTGCAGGGCAGAGTCTTTTCAAGGCCCTCTGTGGTAGGCTCCTGTCCTATTCCCTGTTTTCTCCCTCTTCTGATGTCCATCCTCTTTGCCTTTCTGAATGAGGATTGAGCAACTAATCTTGATTAGTTTCTTTAAGTGTACAGATTTTAGTATGTTTATCCTACATAATATGTCTAATATCCACTTATGAGTGAGTATATACCCTGTGTGTCTTTCTGCTTCTGGGCTACCTCACTCAGTATGAGCTTTTCCAGTTCCCACCATTTGCCTGCAAATTTCATGATGCCCTTGTTTTTAATTGCTGAGTAGTATTCCATTGTGTAAATGTATCACAATTTCTGTATCCATTCCTCTGTTGAGGGACATCTGGGTTGTTTCCAGATTCTGGCTGTTACAAATAAAGCTGCTACAAACACAGTTGAGCATCTTTTGGATATGCCTAGGAGTAGTATTCTTCTTCTTCTTTGGATTTAGTTATTTTCTGTGTTTTTCCTGCATGTATGTAAGAGTACCATATGTGTACCTCATGCCTATGGAAGATGGAAAAGGGTATCAGATCGCCCTGGAAGTTGAGTTATGAACTACCATGTCAGCAATGGGAACCAAACTTGGGTGCTCTTAACCTTCGAATGACCTTACCGGTCCCAGAATAATTCTTTTAAGAAGGGGAATCCTTGGGCTGGAGAGACGGCTCAGTCATTAAAGGACAGGCTCACAACCATAAATATAAGAAGAATCCTGTCCATTACTACTACTTTGTGCTTTTTTAAAATTTGTGTATTTTTAATTCAAAATTCAAAATTATATACT